ACTGTATTTCTCTATTTTTTTCTTCCTCTCTTCCCTTTTCTTCTTTTTGTTTCATTCCCTCTTTTCTCTCGTCCTCGAGCTTTATCCTCTCCTCCACTTCCTCCACTGCTGTCGTTGCTCTCATCTAACTTCTCCTACTTTTACTTTACGTTTCCCTCCTGCTTTTAATGCCTCAGCTCCTCTCCTCGTCCTCTCCTCCTTGTATTCTCTATATCCCTGCCTCTCCTGCTTCTTACAGTGCAAAAGGCATTCGATGAAATCATCCACCCTAAATCCAACCAGTGTGTGTGTGTGTGTGTGTGTGCTGTGTTTTGTACATGTGCGTGTGTGGCTGCATATGTCTGTGTGCACGGGCCAAAATTTTATCCCATAACAGCAGTTGAGACTGAAAATTGCTCCCTCTTCCTCCCTTTCTTCAAATCAAATCAACAGATGTTCAGGAGATCTTCTACTTAAGTGAAAGTACCGATACAACATTGTTAAAAATACTTTACTTAAGGTATCAAAAGCATTTACAGAATAAATGGCCTCTGTGACATTATTAGATTGTTAATACGAATGCATCAATGTGTCAGTAACATTGTGCTGCGGCTTCTCTCATCCACTTTACAAACTGCAGGTTAGTCCAGTGGTTCCCACCCGGGGGTCTGGCCCCCTCCAAAGGCTCACTAGATAAATCTGAGGGGTAGAGAGACGATAATTGGAGGAGGAAAATAGAAAAGAGTAGAAAAAACTTAAAAAAATGTATCTCAATGGTAAAAAGTTGAGAAAGGACAGAAAAAGCTCAAGATGGAGATAATAGCAGGAGGAAAAAGAGTTCATGTGGGTGAGTTCCTATGAAACCTGCTCTTTGTTGTCATGTAAAAGTGTCACGTATGGTGACTGATGCAACCTGTGCACTGAGCGGTGAAACCTGCACCCCAAAACTCACTCAGTGTCGTTTGGGTTCAAGACTTTTCATGTCAAAATATTTAGCAATTAGTCGGGAAACCAGGGAGCAAAACCATGGGGAGATGGAAGTCAGTCACAAATGACATGTGCAAAGGAAATTATTTATAGAAATGCTCAGTCTTCTAATGTAGACTCATTGAAACATGGTTGATGTCAAGACCTAAATCTTTTGTTCTTCAATTCAAATGGCAGGGTTCATAAAGACAGTTTGATGACATCTTGTTAACTTTCAGTCTATCACACACTTTTCCCCCCGGAAATCCACCACTTCTTATCAAATCATAGTTTGTGTCAACATAATGAGGAAAAGATTTTAACAGATGTATCTGGAAATTTGCGAATCTTCTATCTGCGAAAAGGTGAACTGACAACATAATTCATTTGTTTTTCTTACAATTTCATGGCCACTGAAGAATGATTAACCTTTTCATATTGAACACTTTGAGACACAAACCACCTCTCTTTGGCTTTTTTACAAGAACCCAGCAGACAAAGCATTGCAAGTGGACAAAATCCACGCATCAATTACATTTCCTCCAAAACATATTCAGAAAATGTTTTCGTACTTGTAAGAAACCATCATCATCATCACCATCTGTCCACTTCAACACCTCTTCATGGCTATTTGTCCATCTCCTCTCCCCTCTACTCTCATGTCAAGCCACTTACATCAGACTCAGCAGGGAGCCACATTGCTGGAGGCTGAACTGACTTATTGAGTGTATGTGCACGCACTCACATGCCTGTGTGGTGTCACTCACTTCCCCGTTTATCCTCTCCTCCGCCCAGTGGGCTCCTCCTCTCCCCTTGTTCTCTTCCTCCTTCTGCTTGTCATCTCTCTCTCCTTCTGGTAAGCCTTTAGCTACACAGGCCTCCTCCATTTTGCACTGACGTGAACCGTGTGACTGTGTGTGTGTGTGTGTGTGTGCGTGTGCGTGTGTGTATTTGTGGTGCAGTAGAGTGCAGCCTAAAGTGGCAGCCAGTGCTAGGGAAGTGTGCGATCGAGCAGAACAATGGCATTCTGGGTAAAAATAGCCCTCGCTCTGTTGGAGGGAGAGAAAAGGAGACGGAGGGTGACAGAGAGAGAGAAGAGAGGGAGGGTAAGAGCTGAGAGGAAAGGGAAGGATAGAAGTTTAATGACCATGTAGTGAAAAGAGAAGCTGCAGGTGCAAATGTGTGAAACACAAATTTAAAAGGATGAGAATGAGTCACACGAGAAGTAAAGTGAAACTGTGAGAAGCAGAGAAGCTTTGTGTTCTACTCCATGTCTTGAATGAAGGTTGCCATGGAGTCTAATCAGACTATATTTGGGATATGATTGAGTTGGGCTTTTTGTAAATAGAAAGGGATCCATTGCTTTCATAAAAAAAGATGGTGTAGAAAAAAAGCAAAAAAACAGACAGAAAAAGAGCAAAAAGGAAATCAAGATGGAGAGAAATATGAGAGGAGAGAGGAAGAAATTGCTGAAAAACAGAGAGGGAGAGAGCTGGAAGGTAGAGTCAACATACAATACAAAACAGGTTGAAAGGCCCCGCGTTTAGACAGAAAGAAAGAAAGAGAGAGAGAGCGAGAGAGAGAGAGAGTCTGAATGCAGAATTAGAACTGATGGAGCATTTTAGTGAACGTTATTGACAGGACGACAAAAGGCCAGAATGTTTGTGCTATGTAGGTTAAGTGGTGCAGCGATGGGCTACTCTGTTGGACAACAGACACACACACACACACACACACACACACATACACACACGTGATGTGATCGCTAGGACTGAATGTACTGGCTCTGGGAAAAGGAGGAATGAGTTCACTTTAGGGTCTAAAAGTGATTCAACAGTCTCAGAGGCTACTACTGTACACTGTACAGTATGCTGCTTAAGGGGGTGCACGCACGCACACACACACACACACACACAGAACGTATTATATGATAGTTAAAGGAGTAGTTGTGACTTTTTCCATTGCAATGTGTGATGTATGATCAGGGAAGGCCTCATTACCAAACACACACACACACACACACACACACACAATGTGCTCATACAATGTGCAGCTTCTTTGGAGGTAGCTGCACACAGTTATATACAAAGGGTCAGCATCTTAGGCTACATTCTGTAATATACAACCAGGACCAGAGAAAAGCGTGTACGTGTAAGTATTTAAAGGCCACAATATTCAGGATGTTCAGTGATATTTCAACTAGTGAATCAATGAGGTATACATTCCTTTCAGCACCATCCACTTGATATTAGTGTTGAAACATTAAGACAGCTATTTTGATAATTGTAAAAAGGAAACATGCCAGACATTTGCTGCCTTTTTTTCAAATTCCCATCTTGCCCTCTCTCTTGAACCACAGCTTTAACTTTGAATGATGAATGGGCAGTCTTGGAATGAGGCCTCAATAGAGAGTGATATGTAACAGGGTTGACATAGTTTTATATGCATGCAGACGTTTTACTAAACAATTAATGCCTTGGTGGGTATGTAATGGTGGCTGTAAGTACTACCACTCAATCAAAAGTGGCATTAAGTGTCTCTTGCATGACACTTAACAACCAAAATCTCAAAGGGATTCAGAGAAAGAGAGATGCAGGGGGGTAGATAAAAAGAGAGGAGATAGAAAAGATAGAGTGGAGGAGAGTTAGAGAGAGGATTGGTGAGTTCTGTGTAGAGAGGATTTGATGAGTGGGTGGAAAAGAGCAGAGATGCGAGATAAGTGTTCGGTAGGGAGCACTGCGTCTGTCAGTTATTCATTGCATGAGTAATATGGCCGATCTTCAGTCCAAAACAACCTCATTTCTCCTGGATAGACAGAGAGAGAGGGACAGTACACAGAAGGAGTATACGGGAGAGATACTGCAAAACGAATGAATATTGAATATTACATATAAGATCAACTAAATAAGAGTTCTTATTTGAAGATATGTGTTTTTAGTTTTTAAGAAAATATAAATTCATTTAAACCATTTTCCGGTCACAATGTTGGTAAACTCAGTCCTGTGGCTTTTCTGTTTGTCCTTCCAAGACATCACCTGTCAATCAATCAGACATTTCCTTAGTCTTTTAGCCGTGGTGGCTGTCGATGCTCATACTAAGTCCGTTCTCTTCTGCTTCTTTTGTTTACGTCTTTCTCCAGAAAGACAGAGCCAACAATGTGTTCACACCAGCAAATGGAAACAAGTTAAAATAGAGGCAAAAATGAATTATGTTCAGTGTGTGTGTGTGTGTGTGTGTGTGTGTGCGCGCATCACAGTCTAATTTTTCATCAGTCAGCTTCACAGTGCAAGAAGTGAGGGGATCCGATGCATTGAAAATAGGGTGTAGCTGTCAGTGTGACTTGGTCTTTTAGAAACGCATGTCAGCTTAACTTAGCCTGCTGCAGCTGTGACAGCTCTGTCTGGAAATAAGATTTCCAAAGTGTCTATAGTTTGTGAGTGTGTGTGTGTGTGTGTGTGTGTGTGTGTGTGTGTGTGTGTGTGTGCGGCTAACTCTGCAGTCTGCTGTTAAAGTGGAATCGACATTTTCAACGTTAGGAATATTAATCAGTGCATTAATCTGTCAATCTTATTTAACATGAGAAGTAGACTGACAACACATCATTTTAGTGGAGGAGTAGTTGATGAAGGACAGGAGGTTGAGTCACACACACGCACATTGGAGCTGCCCAGTTGTTGCAGTCTTTACTGTTCACTGTTGAGCGGTAATCACCCACCCGTTGACTTTTTGACAGTCCATTCAAGACAGTAAAACTTAATTCAAACTCGCTTTATTAGCTTTTTTGATTGTATTTTTATACATGTCCCAGATTTTGTTATTGAGCTAATTTTTGCCTTTCCTCCCACGTTAGTGTTGATGCTTTGAAAGTTCAGCACTGCCTTTTCAGAGCTTTAGCAATCAGGGAAGATTTTGGAATATGGGAAGCTCTAAAAAAATCAGGGATGTTTGTGTTTATTTGCCATAGTATAGACATAATATGATAAACAATCATTTCTCTGCTATTGTGAAAAACAAGCTGGTTGTCACTAAATGTGTTTGTTTTGTGTGTGTTTCAGAAGAAGGAGTGGTTATGTCTCAACTGCCAGACCCAGCGGCTGATGTCCGGAGGCGGTCTCGACGATCCTCCACTTCCTGTTCCTCATCCGTCTCCCAAGCACCAGCCAATGGGCTCGCCCCGTCACCAGGCGCCAGCCAGTCAGCAAAGCCCTCTCCACAAAGCCACCAATCAGCAGGGGCCCAGGCCGGCCCAGCCCCAGACGCAGAAAGCGCAGGCGGGAACTGGCGGTAGTGGGCCGTTTGCACCCAATGCAGCCAAACAACTGATCGACTCCAAGATCACGACACCAGCTACGGCACCAGTATCAACCACAGAGATCCAGAAACAGCCAAAACCCACAGAGGAGAAACCCAAAACCGAGCCTGAGAACCAAACTGCCAAAGACACCAAACCCTTCCAGAGGAAAGGAGAGCAGATCACACCCATCAAGGAAATCAAGAAGTCCAGGCACTATGATGTAAGTCTGATTTATTGTCCTAACATTGCTTTAGTTCGGTATACTACTCTGTATGTTAAGCTATGGATAAGGACCAAAAGTTGATACAACTGGTAAAATGGTAATACGGCTTGAGAAAAGTGAACCAAATGAATAAGTGAAAAATAAGTAATAATTAATAAAATAAACAGATTTTTAGTGATTATTCAGCGGGAACCATAGTGCAACATACAGGCCTATGTACCAACACTGGCTATTGTTGACCTTTTTTTAAGTTTTAGAGCATGTATGCAGGTTAAGTTATGTGAGTATGCATGGCTGTTTCAGCGTGGACCTGCTTTGCATTCATGCAGTTTTTCCATAAACCTTAATGAGCTAAATGGAAGCTCTTGTCAAGCACCAGCTACGTGTAGTCTACAGGATGTTGCCCATGTTGGACCTCCAAAAACCTCACAATCCCCACAGCCAAGAAATGAGGAAAAGTCAATGATAAGAGGGCTACAATCCAGATGATCCTTATGTAACCTACACAACAGAGAGAAAGCGGTTTTGTATTGTAGGCACAGTAAAAAGTTGACCTGGCATTGTGCTGGCAGCTGGACAAAGGTGGGATCTAACGAGATGGCTTCCTTTAGAGTTCAAGGAGCCAAAGTCACTCGAGCGTGTCTTCTAGCGTCTCCAACTCAACAAGCTTTCTCATGGACAGATTCTCTCAACATTGTTTCTGCGAAACTGAAAAATGTTCTTGGGATTTTCTGTAAATATTATAAGATTACAATGATTCTAGTACACTGGATTGTCAAATTTAAACAATTTGTAAACCACGGAAAAACATTCAGCATTCAGTACAAATGTTTCCCACTGTGCTTCGCTATTGGGACACTTTCCAGGCCTCATGGGAGGTGTAGTTGTTGAATGCAGAGACAATGATTGTCCGTGCTAAACATTTTTCACATTTAGTACAGCACAAGATGCCAATTCGTCTTAAAATATGAAAAGACCCCAGGAACGTTTAATGTTTTCAGACTGAGTCACTGAAGCTAGTGAAACAGAGGCTGGGTTACCCTGATTATCAGACCAAATTGCCATCTTTCCTTAAGCCTGACATCGTGATTGTGTTTTGTTTTGCCATAACTAGGAAGTATGAGTGTTATCTGTTCCGCTGATGTCATTTTTAGTTGACACAGACGCCGAGCAAGCAGTTGCTAGGAGCAGTTAACTCAATGTTTTTTAATATGTTGATTTCATAGTTATATATATTTATTTAAGTCGACTTACAGCAACTTGAACAGCTGTGTCACTCTCATCCACACCTCTTGCCATATTTCTGTTGCTATTTTTCATGAATGTAGCTAAGTAGCTTCCATTGTAGGAAGAAGACATTCTTAATTCCACTAAGCTTTGACTGGTCAGTTGTTTCTCCAACCGGTGGAAACATCCATCGATGAGCACAACACCAAACCAGTTTGAATTGCTGAAATCAGAGATGTGGTCTACAATTCAGAGGTCTGAAACTAGGCTACGGCTAACTAGGAGGGTGGATGAACTGCAGGTCTCTAAAAACACAGACTCAGCACTTCAAAACTTGACTCAGCACCAGACTAAAGACTTGGTTGATTTCAGTATCACAGTCCACTCGTACATTTCAAAAGTGGCAAACATTGCTGTCCTCAGCAGAATCAGACCCAGAATGTTGACAAAGGTGATGCATGTGATTAATGAACCATGTGACCAGTGGACTTCAGAAGTTTGTGTTGTCTGACACCTGGGAAATGGATATTAAGTGTTTACACCATGGATCCTGCCATCGACCCAGCTGCCTGTTGCCACATTAGATTTCCTCCAACGTTGTCTTCAAGGTTTTGACTGCTGTGTTTAGAATCCAGATGTAAGTAAATTAATGAAGGTGGCATCATGAGGTCATTCATGCTACTGTGAATATAGCTTATATGACATAGTTGTGATGACTTGTAAAGAGTCATAAAGGTCACTTTAAACAAATCTGTGAGATTGCATTAGTTTGGCATTAAGTTGGCCAAATAACAGTTTCTCACAACACAGTGAGTAAATGCAGCACCAAGCCAAACTTGTTATGAGAATTCAAAAGAGTTCTTGCTGGACTCTGTTTTCTCCTGGTAAACTAAAAAAAGTAAGAAAGTACCAGTTTCTTTAAAGTTTATGTTTTCAACACAAATCTCCCATTATTTTCTTATGAATATTTTAGATCTTCACCTGCATATTTCAGAGATGCTGCATGCTCATATAAAAGTAATACAATTTTGTAACTGGTCACTGATCCATAAAATACTGTCCTATTAAGTTGAAACAGAAGGCAAAACACAGTTGCAATGCTATGCACCACTTTATTTTCAGTTCTCAGTCTTGTAGATCGAAAGATTATATTCATAATTACAGTGACAAGTGGGATGCCTCAAGGTTTAAAGTGGCACAGAGAGCCTTCATGTATTGAAAATTGAATGGAGTTTAATTAAATCACCATTTTAGGAAACACATTTCCAGATGTATTGTATTTACCCAGTCCATTTTCTGCCATGCTCTGTTTAATTATCTTCTCTGACAAAAGAAAAGATTTGTTACCATGTTTTTGTATTTCTCTGTAGCATTTCTGGCTTCCATATTCAATCAGAGTCGACTCTTGAACTCGGTTTAAAGCTTGTTTTGTTTTCTTGCCCTTCTTGTACAAAATGTATCTATGTATAGAAATGGCCCTATCATTTCATGTGAATTATATGTCTATTTAGTTTGGTGATCACAAAACAGAATGCAGTTTATCCTTTATTATACAACAAAGTGAAGTTGACTATAACCTGTGCACAACACTGGGTGTTTTACGTCACAAAATACAGTTATGTTATGACCCTACTTAAGATTTTCTATGGAGCCTGGTTAATTCAAACTATAAGTTGTGTTGGACATCCATGGCAGTTTGGAAAGCATGTCATTGAGTCCCTCCTCACAGAATGCTGAGGCTGCAAGTGGCAGTGTGGACTACCTTGGGAAGGGGGCGTGAGAGTGAGAGAGAAACACAGAGGCAGTGAAATAATACCTTTTCTTACTCAGCGACAGCTATTGCTCCTGTCGAAATATTTATCGAGATCAGCTGCTGTGGGCCTTTTCAAAGGCAGAGCAGACCTTCCTCATCTAAGGAACTGCTAGGAGTGTAAAGTGCAGAGAAGTTAAATGTAAAGTCTCCTCTGAAGTATTAAAACCATCGTAAGGGGTTTTATAGAAAACATTTCTATAGTTTTTTTTTATTGACAGACATCTGAGGCAGAGCCATTGATGAATGAGTTTTGAGTCGTTTTTGTGTTCCAGTCATGTTAACTTCACAATCGCTCATCATCACAAAACTGAAATTTTGTCACTCCTAAAATACACAGTTTGAATAACCTCTTTCCATCAATGGCTCAAAATTGTTTACAAACCTGTCAACTATAAGCCACCTAATGATAACTGATTCATTATGTGATTTGTCTTAATGCTGTCATTTACTATACTATTGGAGATTTAGTTCTTAATAAAATCAGACCATAGCCTGAATGTATTGGACAAGTTCTATTGTTGCATAATACTTTTTTATGACTTATTTGAATTGTAACTACATTGTTAGTAGATCCGGTTTTGGAAATAGGAAGGGCAAATCTCTGCAATTTGTACATTATTACACTAACTGTTCAGTGTTTCCTTGTATAATTCTACATCCATGGTGAAATTGAATAACAACCTCCAGCCTATTGTCTCACATGTTCTCTCTGAATGCATACCTTTCTTCTTTGTCTAGCAACTTCTTTTAATGAGATAACTTCTAAGAATCCAATCTAGGCCCACATATGAGCTCATGAACAACTTTTGTTTGAAGAGTGTGATTTCTGTAATGGGATTTTAGGTTTCATAAGAACCAAGTCAGTTGTTACTGAATACTGTTTTGCATTTAAATATTTTCTAGCTAAGGCTTCTCAGTGGAATTTCCTAAAGCACACACTTTATAACAATATAGACAATACTAAGAGCTGTTTTTTATACACCTCCAAACTCTCAAACCTAATGAAGAGAACCCTATTTTCATGCATTCTTGTTTAAGTATAACACTTCATTACTTGGTTTGATAATGTTCCTTTTTATAAAAAGCTGAGGGCGGCAGTTTTAGCATTCCTGTTCAAGCAGAATGACATATTTTAAAAATGTGACACCTTGGAACTATCTTGTTATCTATCTTTAAATCAATAAATCTATGTCCCATATTGAACAAGCGTTGATGAGATTTATCACTTTACTTATTGGTTACAGATAAATATTAAAATTAGACAGAAACCATATATTTTACATCCAAAAATCAGAACCAAATAAATGTGGGCTTAAATTGTGTGTATACCAATGTGCTTATCCAGAATCAAAACATTCTCACAAATTATTACTTAAATTAACCTTAGTATTCCAACTCTAATTCTTTATTTTTTTCTTCTTTCTTCTTCTCTCTTTAGGATACAAAAAACAACAGCACCCATGACTTGTCACGCAGCCCTCAGAGCCTCAGTGACACCGGCTACTCCTCTGATGGCATCTCCAGCTCCCACAGTGAAATCACAGGTCTAATCCAAGAAGAGGAGATGAAACTGAGTGAGAGGGGGATCTGTGGGCGGGGTTCCCCACCAAGCCCTTCTGAAATCACCAAGCTTGAAAGCTCCATGAGGCCTTTGCTGGAGAAGAGCCTTTCTGAAGAGAAGGTAGACAGAAGGGGAAGGAAGCACAGAGACAGAGACTTGGATGACAGAGGGAAGCAGCGCCCACGCTCCTTGTCAATCCCACCAGATTCATACGACTCTGATGAGGAACTGGAAGATATACTAGAGGAAGAAGAAGATGCAGGAGACTGGGAGGGTAAACGGAAGGAAGGGAAGGAGGAGAAGAAGGAGAAGAAAAAGAAGGAAAAAGAGGCTGAGCCCACAGAGATGACAGATGAGGAGTTCATGAGGAGACAAATACTGGAGATGAGCGCTGATGAAGATAATGAGGAGGAAGAGATGGAGGAAGAGGAAGATGAGGAAGATGAAGGATATGGCTACCAGAAACCCAAGAAAAACCACCACAAACACACAATCTCTGACTCAGGGAAAGAGAAAAGACGTCTTCAGCACCACTCCAGCAGTTTTGAGGAGGAAACTAAGAGCTCTAACGATGTTTATAAAGGCTCAGTGGAGGAGGGTGAGGAAGATGTGATGGCATCACAAGGAGGCTTGAGGCGCTTCAAAACCATTGAACTCAATAACACCAGTAGCTACAGTCGAGACATGGAGCTTGGCAATGAAAATGACTTGAGCCTTGATCGGGAACCTGAGCTAGAGATGGAGAGCCTGACAGGATCTCCCGAGGAGCGTTCTCGAGGTGACTACTCCTCCACTCTGCCAGCCACTTCATCCTCGTATGGCTCAGGCCAGTCACCTACTTCCATCTCATCAATGGAGGAGGACAGTGACAGTAGCCCCAGCAGGAGGCAAAGGCTGGAAGAGGCCAAGCAACAGAGGAAAGCACGCCACCGCTCCCATGGCCCTCTCCTTCCCACCATTGAAGACTCTTCAGAAGAGGATGAGCTGAGAGAGGAAGAAGAACTTCTGAGAGAGCAGGAGAAGATGAGGGAGGTGGAACAACAGCGAATAAGGAGCACAGCACGAAAGACAAAGAGGGATAAGGAGGAGCTGAGGGCTCAGAGGCGCAGAGAGAGGTCCAAGACACCACCTAGCAATCTCTCACCCATTGAAGATGCTTCTCCAACAGAAGAGCTGAGACAAGCTGCAGAAATGGAAGAGCTCCATCGTTCTTCTGCTTCTGAATATTCCCCTCAGAGTCTTGACTCAGAGGCTGAGGGATACGAATCCAAACTTTACAAGTCAGGCAGTGAATACAACCTGCCTACCTTTATGTCTCTCTACTCGCCAGTAGAGAAATCATCAACTACAACAACCACCACAGCACCATCTTCAACTTCAAAACCGCTGAAGAGCGCTGAGGAGGTTTATGAGGAGATGATGAGGAAGGCAGAGTTGCTTCAGAAACAACAGCAGCAACAGCAGCAACATGGAAGGCATGGACAGTACTACGAGGAGGATGTTAATGGACAAGGTTATGATGACGAGTATGAATATGAACAAGATCAAGCAGGATATGATAATGAGGCAGCAGAGACAGAAACTGATATTTACGAGGAGATCCGACAAACATCTCAGAACATCACCAAGATGCAGCAGGCCACTGATGAGCAAGTAGAGATCGAGATTGAGACCTCCTACTCAGACAAACAGCTCCTAGACACAGGCTCAGTGTTTGCTAAACTACTGGAGCAGAGCAATGCTCTACTCACTCCAGGGACCAGCCCCACCCAGATCTCAGCTCCTGTCTCCTTTGCTGAGACTGGAGGACGGATTCCTGATGTCAGAGTAACACAGCACTTCTCTGCAAAGGATGGACACAAAGACAGGATTAAAAGCCAAGCAGGAAAGAACGGAATAACTCCAGCAGTGGCTGCCACCACTATTGCAGCTTATGGAGTGTATGCCAGAGATGCAGTAACTATTTCTCAGACTAGTACAAGCCACACAATGACAACTACTCAGTCTGGTATATATGTCCGACACACTTCAAGCCCTGCCACATCTTCAACTACAGTCTCAAGTGTATGCAGCAAGATTGCAGAGATTACCCAGGCCTACAGTCAGAGAGAAGTGATCACCAGAAGGGTAGGGGAGACCAGGGATGTCCAAGTGCGAGACAGCTCAACATCGTCCACTGAGAGAGTTATTGAGCCACGCTCCCCAAAGTATACTACTTATTACAGGAGCACTAGTCCTCCTCTTTCTCCATCACCACCACCACAGAGTCCTACCCATTCACCTTCCAGAAGGAATACAGCTGAGTTCTCCACACAGACTTTCAGTTCAGCATTGCGGATGTCAGAGTCAGCCATCTCTGGGCCTACGTCTCCAGTGACAGCGCAAGGAACCCAAACATCTCATCGATCAGTTTCACCACGGCTCTATCGTCAGCAGTCTTCCCAGGATGTCCCATACTCCCCACCTCCAAGCCCAGCTAGGCCAATGACAGTCAACACTGCTACTTCTCCCCTGTCATCACCTACCCAATTTAGCCGCCAACCAACATTTGACAATTACTCCCCATGTGGCAGCCCTCCAGACACACCACCTTACCAACACTCTCCTACACGTAGCTTCTACCGGACACAAAGAGTGGAGAAAGTAAATGTGGGAACAAGTATGGTCACCACATCCAGCACTTACACCAGAGGGTCCATGTCAATGGACAACATCTCCCTCTGTCGAATATCTACAGTCCCAGGTACTTCTAGGGTAGAGCAGGGCCATATGATCCAAGGCGGAAGTGTTGTGGACCTCAGAACAGCAACCAAACCAGCTCCTATTATCATGACTGACCAGGGAATGGATCTCACCTCCTTAGCTACTGAAAGCAGGAGATACCATGGTGGATCAGAGAGTAGCAGACATTCCACGATTGTGCAGCCAATGATTATGAACTTGAACACCCAGGAGATAATCACACCAACCACTGTGAGTGTCACAGTGGCTGCTTCCATGTTCATGACCCAGCCCAAACAGCCAACAATCTATGGTGATCCCCATCAAAACCAAGTGGATTTGGGTCAGGGTATGGGTTCGGCTGTGTGTCTTTCCCAAAACAAACCAACTGACCCAACAATACCAAAAATTGATGCCAAATTGGAAGACCTCAGTATCCAACAGAGAGAGCTACAAATACAGCAAGAGAAGCTGCAGAAGCAACAACAGCTTCTTGAACACCAGTTGCAGCAGCACCATCAGATGCAACATCAGCAGCAACAAGTATCTTTGGCCAGGTACAGCCTTACCGGTCAGATCTCACCTTTACTGAAAAAAGACATGCTAGTCAGTCAGACTAGCGCTGCCTCAGCTGTGGTCAGTGCTGTATCACCAGTCATTAACCCTGAGATGTATGGCACTGGTCCCGTTGAGCTGAAAGGGAAGCCTAGTCCTCCTGGTTTGATATCAGGAGGTAAATCACCACATAGCATGGTAGTACAGATGGACGGCGGGCCAGAGCAGGCCAGGGCAATGACTCAGCTAGTGAAGGTAGAAGTAGGACAGGATGCTATGGACCTGACAGGAGGCCAAATTAAACCTGAAAACCAACCAGCTTGCTGTGATGTTGTTTACCGACTTCCATTTGGTGGAAGCTGTGTCGGTGGTGAGAAAGAGGGCATAAGGCCTCCATCTGCCCCACCTCTCACCTATGAGTCTGACCAAGAAAGACTACCTGAAGGGTACCATGAATATCCAATGGATGAACGTAAGGCCTACACATTACCTTTCCCTGGTAGGCTTCAGCCTTCAATGTCTGATACAAACCTAGCTGAAGCTGGGCTACAGTCCTACCATTCTAAACTAGAACCACACCTCCAAGGCACAGGAGAACTTGCCATGGATCTAACTGCAATGAAACAGGGGTATGGAGGATTTATGGGGATGCAGTATGGCTCCTATACAGATTTACGGCATGGAGGAGACATCACAGCCCAAACGCTGCCTATAAGGAGATATAATTCCTTGTCCAACATCAGTTCAGACTATGGCTACTCTGCTCGTGACATTGCTAACTTCCAAGAAGCTAACTTGGCTCAGTACAGTGCTACAACTGCCAGGGAGATCAGCCGGATGTGTGCAGCTCTCAATTCCATAGATCGATATGGAAGCAACCCAGAACTGATGCAGTTTGGTGGTTTGGGGAGAGGAACCGGGCCTGGGGCTTCCAGATTTGCAACAGGTCTCGGCATGAGACAAACCCTCCTTTTTGGACTAGATGGGAAGCCAATCTCCCACAGTCAAGCGCTAACCAACCTTATCAATGCCAGGCAGGCCAGTCTCAGAGCCATGTACCCTGCTGCTATTAGGTCCGCTGATGGGATGATCTACTCCACCATCCAGACCCCCATTGCTTCTACACTTCCCATAACAACACAGCCTGCCTCTGTTCTTCGCCCACTACTGAGGGGGGTCTACAGGCCATACCTCTCTGCCAACATGACACCTGTGCCCCTATCCAGTCTTAGCAGACTACCAATGAGCCCAAGAATACCCTTAACTGGGCAAGCTCCAGTCCGCTACCCAGCACCAGGTCTTCTCCAAATAACGTTAACCACTGCCACTTCTGCTGGTGCAGCGACAACTTTAGGAGCAGTAGGTGCCCCAGTGTCTGTTTCCATTACAACTACTAGTTCTACACTCCAGGATGAACCAGTTTACCTCGGTAAAAGTGTATCCTCATCAGCGGAGGTACAAGGAACAGTTGTTATACCAATAGAGCCACAGCAGCAGCCAATAAACCTGTCCCAGGCCCACCTGAACAGTAAACAACAACAACAACAACAACAACAACAACAACAACAACAACAACAGCAACAAGTGGCATCTGCTCAGCAGCCACAACAGCCTCCTCCAGCAGCCCATGCCTACCCACCCTCAACTCCTTCACACACTCATGGCTACACCCAACCACCAGTCGGCCCCTCTGTCCCCACTAGTGGCTTACCCATTTCAGGGGGTCTTCCTCCCTTCCCCCCACCAGGTGCCATACACAAGGAGGGTGAAACCGAGGCAGAGAGGCTGCATCGGCAGCAGGAGCAGCTTCTGCAGATGGAGAGGGAGCGCGTGGAACTGGAGAAACTGCGGCAACTGCGCCTGCAGGAGGAGCTGGAACGAGAAAGGATAGAGCTGAAGCTGCACAGGGATAAGGAGCAGATGCTTGTGCAGAGAGAGTTACATGAGCTGCAGAACATCAAGGAACAGGTAGAAGGAGAAACAGGAGGCAGAATGGAGTTTGATGTCTTGTTTGATGTTTTGTGATTCTTGGTTTTGCCATAGATATTGGTTTGTGTTTTGTTTGTTTTGTGGTGGTGTTATTTGTGGTGCATCTTATTGCGTCTTATTCGTTAAATTGTTTTGTTCATTCAGTGTCGCATCTTTGATGTGCAACCACTAAATTGACTTGCAAGATACAGTACATCATTCCCTGAAATAATTAAAGAAATTACTAATAAAATAACTTATATATAGAGTTCAGTATATGCATGAATTTCATCAACAAAGTACATGTAACAAACTGTGACAGTGAGACCATTAAATATCTCTCCAGAAAATTTGACCCGTGTTCAAATTCTGTCATTGTTAGAAAAAAATGCTATTTTAATGTAAAGATTGATGGGATTGTTTTGTTCAAAGAAATGTTTGCATCCAGTCAGCCTTACAAATATACAAATACAGTTTTATAATCTGCATGCTATGTAGTTCACTTAACTGGATATTCCCTTTTTGTGAAGTGTGCATGAGCATGCCTGTAGTATGTATGTGGGATAGAAACTGATGATGCACAGATTTTGGTTTTTAGTGCCATTTGTTTGTCTGATTTATACTAAAAAGAAAAATGAATCCTGTTATGTTGTATTCATCTGATAATCAATAGCAAATACGCATTTGAATATACCACTTTTCAACTCCTAATAGCCTTGTTCAGATGTTTTAACAGGTAACAGAAGGGCTAACATGACGATTTTCTTCTTTTTTTGATAGAACAAGCAGTTGAAAATCTTTCAAGTAAACTCAGTTAAACAGGTTTGGAAGCCTTACTTAATGAGAATGAACTAGAGATGGAATGTTTAATATGCATCTCATAACCCACTGTAAAAGCAGAAACCCTAACTCCTTATTTGCACTAGCTTGTCATTTATGCAACAAAGAAAATGCATTACATATTTTCTTATGAGCATTATACGACTGGCAACAGCAATGACCAGTACATGCTGCACTTTTATGTTGCGCTTCCATTCTTTTTGCTATGTATAGAGGTTTGGCTAACTTGGAACCATTTTTACAACTAATCCATCAGCACAAGAATAATTCCATGTCACATGTAGTGTCCGGAGTCTTTGATCATCTTTTATACAACCAGATGTGCCAAAACTCAACAAGCTTGTCCTCTACTGTCTTTACTGTCTCTGTGTCTTTCTCTAATTATTTTTCATTATGTCTCTTTTACATCTTTTTTCTTTCTTTCTTTGATTTCCTCTCGATCTGTCCACCCTCACCTCTCCCTTGTGCTACACTTCTCCATACTTTTCTTGTCTTGTCCTCTCTCTCTGTGTTTTTGCCGACGTCTGCTTCTTTCAATACCCCTTTCCACCAACATTTTTTTAGGTCCTACAGCAGCAGCAGCATGAACGCGAGAAGCAACTCGTTCTCCAGAGGGAGCAGTTGGCGCAGCAGAAGTCACAGCTAGACCAGATCCAGTCTCTACAGCACCAGCTCCAGCAGCAGCTTGTAGAGCAGAAGAGACAGAAAACGGCTGCAGCTCAGAGCATTCAGGTGAGGGGGGTGAGGAACACTGGCAGGTGCATATAAGTGATGTGACAACATACTGTACATGTTGAATGCATCAGCTCTTAGGCAGCAGTGGTAGACAGTTTTAGGGCATGGAGAGTGCGAAAGTCCAGAAGTAGCATGCTTCAAGAAGGTCTTACTAATACATTTTTGGCCTGCCTGACTCCTGCCGACACATGCTTGACTCCTGGCTTGGACTTTCCTACCTGACACTGTCCTTTTTTCGACAGTATATTTCCTAAATTCTAATCAATCAAAAGGTTCATGAAGCCACGGACACATTCTAACTCGTGAATCAACTGGGTTGCAAAGAAAAATTCACGTCTATAAAGTAAATTGTGCATCACTGTAACTGTGAGTAACTGAATTGACTCTTCAATCTGCAACTCATAATGTTTGCATGTGTGTCTTTGTTGAACCTCTATGATTGTAATATGAACTGCAATATGCAAAGCCTTTTCAGTCTCAATTGAATCAATGATGGGGGACAACTAACAACCATAAAAATATTCCATTTCTCCTCAGCTTGATGCGAACGGACAGCCCCTGCCCCCTTACATCGACTCTCAGATTGGATCCCGCTCTCTCCCCAACTCCTCTTCAGAAATGTGTCTGAGGAGTCAGCAGGAGCACATGGAGACCAGGACCAACATGAGGAAACACAGCTCCATGACCAGACTGAGCCGGGACAGCTTGGACGGAGACGGCGTGGTGTTCTACGGCTCCCCACGCAGGATCGTGGACAGCTCTGTGCAGACAGACGATGAAGATGGAGAGGAGAGGTAGAGATGAGCGTGTGTATGTGTGTGTGTGTGTGTGTGGTGGAGTGAGTAAGTGGACAGATACATTTTTGTTTAGTGGGTGTAGGTTGATGCAGGTGTAGATGAGGAAGAGAGAGAGCGAATGTATGTGTGTGTGAGTCTGTGTGTATTAGGCAAGGATTACCTTGATAGTCTTCCTGTTCACTTCACATCTTTCTTTAATTAAAAAGCAAGACACAAGGTGAGATGTAGATGAAGGCTTTATGAATAATTCATACATATTTTCATACAGAATAAATATGTCACTTTTCTGAGAGTTTCAAAGGCACAAAGCTTTGTGCAACACAAAAAAGTGATATGACATCAATACTTGTTAAATGTTCAAAGTCAGACTTCTGTCAATGTTTTTCCATGTAAGCACTTTATAATACAACACGTAGATTACATTTTGTCTTTTTTACATATGGGGTAGTATATTGCATCATTATGTCTTTCCTCATTGTTTTCCCTCTCTTCTCCCCGTCAACAGGTACATGATGCGTCATCGCACCAGAAGGCGTGGTCGTAGTGTTGACTGCTCAGTCCAGACAGATGACGACGAGGACAAGGCTGAGACTGAGCAGCCGGTCCGACGAAGACGTTCCCGTTTCTCCCGGCACGCTGAGTCCAGTGCCCCTGGCAGCAGCACTGCCGCCACATCCACCACGGCCTCTGACACCAAGACCGAAACTCCCAAGATGGTATCCTCCAGTATTGCCATCCAGACCATCAGGGAAATGTCTTGCCAGACGGAAGTGGAGCACTTAGGAAGAGTCTCTCCAGCAATCCATGTGACTGTACCAGACCCGAATAAAGTAGAGATTGTGCACTACATCTCCGGACCTGAGCGGACCCAAAAAGGACAGTCTCTAGCATGCCAGACTGACCCAGAAGCCCAGTCACAGGGTGTTGTTGCCCCCCAGCTCAGTGTACCAACCACGGTCAGTCCATATTCTTCCTCTACCAGCACTGGAACGCAACAATCCGGTTCTGTCGACCTCCTGACCCAGCAGCGCCAGCAGCAGCACATTGCAGCAAACGCAGCCAAGTTTGAGCGCCGCCGCCCCGACCCGCTCGACATCAACTACCAGCCTCACAACCACATCCACAACGAGTCTATCTCCAGCATCATCCGGCAGCAGCAGACAACTCCCAAATCCCCACAAGTCCTCTACTCTCCTGTCTCCCCGGTGTCCCCTCACCGCCTGCTGGAGAATTCTCTGTCCAGTGAGAGGCTGAACAAAGCCCATGTCACACCTCAGCAGAAGTCCTACACAGCAGAGTCCCCCCAGAGACACCCTTCTGTGCCCCGACCAATTAAGAGCACCCAGAGGTCCATGTCAGACCCCAAGTCCCTCAGCCCCACCACAGACGAGCACACCAAGGCCCGGCTGTCCCTCTACCAACAACAAGTGCTCCAGAGCCAGGTAAAGTCAATCAAACCATGCTGACACACGCATTAGCACACAATGAAAGAGAGATTTAAAATTAAAGAGAATGAACCAATTAACATCAATTCAGGGTACAGTCTTGAGAATATAACTAAACAGTGGAGATGTTATCTTGTTATGTTATGTTAGTCTTCTTTTTTTTGTATTGTATTTGTTCCTTATAAAACAGATCACAAATCAGTGGTCAAACTTCATGTTAAAAAATTGTTCTGTTAAAAAGCACCTTTTGAGACCTGCGGTTAATTGATGTGTAGTACAAAAACATTTGTATTACAGCTTTCATAGTACTTCAATGATTGTAGAGCTGCACAATACAAACATAATGGCAAAAAGTAAGTCGTCAAGTTTACAGTAAAAAAGCACTTACAACTGTCATCATCACAGCTATACAGCTACCACTGATAATGAACACATTTTGGCAGTGTGGCGCGTGTAGTTTGGATGGAATTGATGCATCTCCCCAAATACCAAACCGATTGGATGTTTTGCTTTCTTTCCATTTCTTCATGCTACTGCTAGTAATGCTGCCGACTGCAACAATCCAAGAGACGTCAGATGTTCAGGGCTTCCTGCAATAAATCTTGTGACAAAATATTGATCAAAATCAACCACATACATTTGATAAACCAATATAGAAACATCCTCAACAGAAATAAAACCAGTTTTTTTAATTATATTTTATAACTGTGGACAGGGCCCCAGCACAGTCGTTAACTTTGCTCTAGTCAATAGTTTGACTCACTTTAATGTGGTTCAGTGGAGTCAAAACTTGCGAAAGGCATCTATACTGAATGGCCTCTATGTCACTTTGATTGAAATCATTCCTTTCGTTCTACTTTGCCCCTGTTTTTATTTTGTGATAAATGTTTTATGGGAATGCTATGATGACTAATTCCATTTGCTGTGGATTTGTATTGTTTGTGTTGGTTTTGTTTTCCACGTTTCTGTAGGGCGTACAGACTTTATTGAGTCTACTCCATCCCCAATTTATAACGAGTGACACCCACTCTGACGAAACAATAGCTGCCATGAAAGTGAGATTCAAAGTGGAATCCGCTGTTGAGCTTTCTTGAGATGTTGTGGGCCTTTATTATAGAAACCTTGGGTGAAGAAAGTGTTCAACATCTCACCCCCAAACTAACCCAATTTGATACTAAACTAAGTAGCTCGTGAATGTTTCTGCCTATGATTTTACTTCCTGTAGAGATCTATGATGGTAGTACAATTTGGCGATCTCTATGGTATTAATTTGCATATTTAATATCTCTGTTGAACTGTAATTTGGGACTCTACAAAAATCGTATCTTGGATTATGGCACAAGGGACAAAACCATCATGATTCTGTGCATTAATAACTAGTTCAATGTCATCCTACGTACAAACCGCATGCAATGATTTACAGAGCACTTTAAGCTTTATGATAAATGTATGTTTTTAGGAATATTCCTCTGGGAGTTTGTTGCAGCTCTGACTGGAACAAAGTCTTACTGTTGAGTGAGGGAGAGGCAAAACACCATCTCTGTATTATACTGTACTATAAAATAATGAAGTTTATTGAAAGCTGAATCAAAATATAGGTGTTTATTTCCAAAGATACTTTATGCGGTTTTTTACCAAATCGTATGCGAGCCTCCAGTGCTGGTGTAAGATGTAACATGGACTGGATTTGAGTCACCAGATTAAAAAGCATCCTCCAATTATTCAGGAGTAATCCACTTCTTCCAACATCATTGGTTGTTGTGTTGTTAAATCACTCCCAAGTGTCTGCAGCATACAGCAAGATAAACTAAACAAAGAACACTGCTTTGGGATGTGCGTGTGAAATTACTAAAATTATTTTTTAAATGTGTTTTTTTAAGAATGGTTCCCTCGTCAATGTTGAGCCATATCAGTTATTATGTGACGGTTGTGATGAATAACCCCTTTGTTAAGTATAGGTGTTTCACACTGCAAAGTATTTTATCTCCTAATCTTCTGAGGTGTTGAGAGTTTTCATAAGATTATATGGTGGATTTTGCCACAGACTGACATGATAAACAGATGTATTTAACAATTCAAAATGCAGGTAACATGTTCGATGACAAAGGGAAGGTACAGAATTAACATATACGATAAAAAACAAAGATGAACCAAGATTCATTCTTGCGTTCATGTCATTCATGATTTTGATCAGCTACAGGAAAACATTGACTCATCTGAACAAGATCCAAATACTTGGATGATTTAAACTGTATTTATTATTTTAGTAGTTCCATTTCATTCAAGTATACAGCAAAGTATCCCGCTAAAATGATCAAATGCACTAAAATTCTTGTCTGTTGTTCTTTGTGTTTTTCTTGGGGTTTCCTGTGGAACACATGGTGCCGTAGGCTTGGTCTACAGTTTTGAAGTTTAAGTTTGAAGCATGAGACTATTAGAAGCAATACATACGTAATTTGCAAAGACAAGAAAACCATTTCAACATATGGAAAATGTCAAAAACAAACTGTGGCTGCTTTAATAACTATGCCTGGCTAAGTGGTAAAAGAACCCTATTTTGTTTTCAGAGCAGCATAAATTCATCGCATGATAACATCCCTCCTGGCTTTAGGTCCATACCGACTCAAAAGCAGGTACTATATACTGGCCATAAATTCATGCTGCCAACCTCATAACCAAAATGATTTATTCCTTGACAGTTGCAAGACGATTAATTTCCAAAATGTGATTAGCTAAGCTTTTATATACAAACACATGCCACACAGTCACACTCAGTTTGAAGAGGACAAACATCCACCTTTCCAGACCATATCAGTGATGGTATGCAAGAACACTTTCTTTAAAAGATAATTGGTTTGGTCATTCCCTCACATCCCTCTAATTAAAGAAAATATTTTACTCAAAGTTTTGAATGAAAGAAAAAATTGTACTACATTTCTCGTATTACATAATATGGGGCAGATAGCTGTCTTTTACCTTTTACTTGATTGATTAGCTGCAGCACCATTGATACTAATTTTAATGTTTTTGTATGTCCTCTAATACAAACTACATTCTTGTTCCCTGTTGTCTTTGTATCTGTGTCTCCTTTGTCTTCCCTGTGTATCCCTGTCGTTGTGTCCTCTCCTTGTTTTTTATGTTCCTTGACCTTTTTATATTTTTTGAGTTTTTCCTCCTTCCTCCTGGTCTATTCGTCTGTTGTGCACAACATCTTTCAAACAACTTTCTCATCCCACTGTCATCCCTCTCCATGGATCTACTTCTACCATCTCTCGTCTACCATCTACCTCTTTCTTTTCTCATTTATTTTTCTCTTTCCCTACATCAATCTACACCCCTTTTCCTCTCTTCCCTCTATGTATTCCTCATTCTCCTTCTCCACTTTTTCTCTCCTTTACTCGCTGATCTCTTTCTTCATCTGCCACCTTTGTCTCTTACCCTTCCATGCCCCTGTCCATCTCACATTCACATTTGGTTTCTACAAATGTCCCATCCCTCTCCATTTAACTGGCTCACCATGCCCATCACATTAATTGTCGTCCACACTCCCCTGTTCTTTTATTTTACCTTCCCTATCCCTTTCTTTGCATGATTCTTTGTTTCTCCATATTCTCCTGTTCTCCCATCCTCCCACCTTCCCTATCTCCCACCCTCCCTCTCTCTCTCTATCCAGCTGGCAGCTCTACAGCAAAGCTCACTACTCCGAAAGGTTAAGCGAACCCTGCCCAGCCCTCCTCCAGACGAGACTACCACATCAGGTCACCTGCCCATGATGTCACCCGCCCTCCAACAGGTCTACCTGCCCTCCGTGCCCAGCCACAAGCCAGCAACCAGGTCTGGTCTGGCTGCCAAAGCCAGCCTCCTCAAAGACCTCACCCACGAGCTGAAGGCCGTGGAGCAAGAGTCGACCAAGCTGAGAAAGCAGCAAGCTGAACTGGAGGAGGAAGAAAAAGAAATTGATGCTAAACTGAGATACCTAGAGTTGGGGATCCACCAAAGGAAAGAGACACTGGTCAAGGAGAGGGAGAGGAGGGATATTGCCTACCTGAGGTGTATGGGGGACACGAGGGACTACATGTCTGACAGTGAGTTGAATAACCTACGTTTGGCAGCTGCAGCTGCATCACATGAGTCCAATGGGCTTCTGTCAAGGCCAAGCACCGCCCCTCTGAGTCATTTCACCAGCGACCTAAACACAGCAGCCCAGTACCCACCGACCTCATCCTTCCTCTCCTGTCAGTACCCCCAGAGCCAACCGGCAGCACCAATGCAGCAATCTAGTGTGCCGTACCAGTCTTCGACATTCAACCAGCCTCCCTATCCCACAGTGTCTCAGTCCCAGGCACTGCCACAGCCCACGCCCCTCCAGAGCCATGTACCACCACCTGGTCCTTACCAGTCTCAAACCTCCTACCCCTCCCATACCTATCCCCAAACTCAGCCCCCATACCCCCAGACAGACATGGGGTTACCAGCTGCACCTCAGCCTCAGCCCCAACCGGGGCATACAGGTTTTGGACCTGCACCGCCTGGTCAGCCCCCATACCCCACCCACAGCTCACCCTATCCCAGCGCTGTGTCCTACCCCAGCCAGACCACCCCATACCCTGGGCAGCCCCAGGTTGATATCTTGACAGTCCACCCGGGAAGACCAAGGCAGACTTCGCTGGCCGATCTGGAGCACAAGATGCCCACCAACTACGAGACGATCAGCAACCCCACAGTTGTGGTCACCACCACTGCCCAAGACTCTACCTATTCCAGTGCAGCCCCCTCTTATGGTCAGTACACTGGATCAACAACCATGGCCAGCTCCTATGGGCCATATGGGTCAGCACCAGTGTCCAGCAGTTACGGTGGGTACTCTACCATGCCACCCAGCACTTATGGCCAATATACTTCATCTTCAGCTAATTCATATGGCCAGTACACCACAACCACTGCTAATACTTATGGCTACACCACCACCACAGCCAGTTCATATGGACAGTACACTTCTACAGTCTCCAATGCCTATGGGCACTCTGTAGACAGTCCCTCCACATACAGCACCGCAGATGGGATGTACGGGGCTCCTGGCTTAGAGCAGAACATTCCAAGAAACTACATGATGATTGACGACGTAAGCGAGCTTACGGCAAAAGACGGGCTGGGCACGTCGACAGGAGACATGATGCATCATGGCGGCAGTGGGCGTTACCCGGGTGACATCCACGGCCACATCAACACCATTGGCAGCACTACGCGTGGGGGAACTGGCAGCTCCTCTTACGGCAGGGCACCTGAAGAGGAAGCGGCGATGCAGGAAGAGCTGTACGACCACCACGGCAGGGGTAAGAGCAGCTACAGGCACGGACCTCTAGGGGGCAGCAGCAGCAGCGTGAGCTCTAGCATGGGTGGGGGATCCTCCTATCACTATGACTACGACTACAAACATGGCAGCATCCGCTCCGGGGTACAGAAACCTTCGTCGTCCTCCAGAAGCCTTCTGGCTCCTGCTGTCATGTCCACCAAGCGCAGCAAGCACAGGAAACTCGGGAGTATGGAGCAAAAAATCTCCAAGTTTTCCCCCATTGAGGAGGCTCGGGATGTAGAGGCAGACCTGGCCTCCTATTCCTCATCAACAGGTGGGGCTTATCCCTCCTCTCACATTCGAGGGCGCCAGCTGATCGAGGATTACGGCTTCAAGACGAAGACCTACGAGGGCGGCAGTGGCACCACTCATGGTAGTCGATACTATGGTTCAACAGGGGAGGACGACGATAGGATTTACTACAACTCCACCGGCCGCTCCCGTTCCACCGGCTACGGCATGGACAAGATCTCAGCCAGAGACTACTCTGGGTACCGCAGCCGATCATATGAGAGGGACGACCGCGCCTACCGATCTGGCCACAGCCGGGGCCGCCAACCAACCCGGCAGTACTCTGAAGAGGAGAGCCCACTTAGTCCCCTGAGGAGGTTCATGGGTTCGGGGCGATCATCAAGCTTAGGCCCCGACCCGTGCGACAGCCGCAGCAGTAGATATCATTACTATTATGGCCAGTATGGTTCCAGCCACTCGCTGCCAGATGTACAAGACCACATACGAGACCTTCCCAGGACACATGTCTACAAATCGGATGATACATACATTATAGACGATTATCATTGCGCGGTGTCAGACAGTGAAGGTAATTGTGGGAGCTGAACGCCCACTCAGTCTCACTACCTACTACTGCCCCCACCGTTTATCTAAACGTCCCCCACCCACCCAGAGGCTAGGCTTAGCAAAGAGAAAGAAAAAGAGAGACAGAGATAGCCGTTGCATGCTGATGTTTTCTTCTTCCTGAGAGTCACTTGGAGCTCTCTTATCAGTGGACTGCTGTCTGTCTGTCTGCCTGCCTGTCCGTCCTTCCGCCTGTTCGTCCAGTCGTCTGTCTGTCCAATACTCGCATGGTTCTTCGGCGTGGTCGTTTTCTCCGTTCGCTACACTCTGATTCACTTGAAAGGTCTTCTTTGCACGACACAGATGCAGTGTTTTTCTTTACAGGGTTTTATTTTTAGTTATTTTATTGGCATTGTTGTTTTGTCTGTGTTTTGATTCATGAATTCTTTGTTTACACTGCAAAAAAGTCCATCACAGTAAATTCTATATTTGAACCTTATCTTTCAGAGGGCTAGTATTATTGTCTCACTGAAACAGTTTACCCATAGGCCCTCTCATGCCATCAAGAATTTGCAGGGCAGTTATGTCTGTGCAGCATAAAGTTATTTTCCATGTCATAAGCTTTGAAATTAAAGCTAAAACATTTTTGCACAAAAACAGCTGCCATGACGGACAGTTTTGCAGTGTTTTATCCTGTTTATATTGTCTTGTAATGTGTGAAGGCAACGTGAAGTGTAAACTGCATGGATGTAAAACTTTTATTTTTATTTTCTGCCTTTCTTTCTGTGTCTTCTCCCTCCTATTCTTTTCTTTTGCATGTGGATGGTCTTCTTCCTGTCTCCTTCCTTCTCTCAGCCTGCATGCCGCTGTCACCAAACGACATGGAGATTGACTGTGATCTGCTCTCGGTTTCCAAAGCCTACCATCTGGGCCAAGAAGAAACTGACTGGTTTGAGAAGCCACGCTCCAGTTCTCGACACTACGGCAGCAGCCACTCATCTGGGAGGAGCCGGCACGGTGTCAAACATACCTACCACGATTATGATGAGCCTCCTGAGGAGGACCTGTGGCCCCAGGATGAGTACGGCCACGGAGGGCGACACTCTGCATCCCGTGACCACAGGCCCCAAGGCAGCTCTGGCCGTCAGTCATCTGCATCACGTCATTCAGATGAGCAGAGGGCCTCGAGGTCATCCAAGGGGCACCCCAAAGACCCGGCAATGCGCCAAGACCCTACAGCACGATCCTCATCTGTAGGAAGGCGTGGTGAGTCCAGGTCCGGAGGGTACCACTCTTCGGACTACTCCCGAGATCCGTCTGGGCACCACCATGGACAGCGCTCCTCCAGACAGGGGGACCCGCACCGTTCCTCACGGAGCAAGTCCCAGCAGCCAATGGACATGCAGGGCCAGCCACCTGGTAAATACAGGGCACCTTTACACCTCATATAAAATGCTTTTCTACTGTATGGCAGGAGGAATAGCATTACATGTGCCAATATTACTAGCCCTTCATCTCCATTATATCTCAAAATATTTGACAGAAATAAGAAGAAAAAAAAGACTATCGAACTAATTGTTTGTTGATAATTCAACAAACTGAACGATGACTGATCGATACATTCTTTAACTGATTTTACATCATCTCTGTAACTATTTAAAAATAATGGTATATCACGTGTTATACATTATAATGTCATTTTAACATCCATATGTGGAATATGTTTAAGAAGTAGTAAAAAAAGAGACCATTCCAAAGTAATTTGCTAATTAAATTTTATGACTAGAACAATATTAGACCTCATTCAGAGTCTGGCCAGTGTAGGCAGTCTGGCGTCTTCATTAAAAACAAATTATATGTCTGTGACTTGAAGTAACAGATATTTCCAATTCACATTTAAGTCAAGTCAAGTCAATATTACGTATACAGCCCAATATCTGTACAGCATGCGACACCCTCTGTCCTTAGACCCTTGATTCGGATAAAGAAATGAGATGAAAACGTGTATTTCACAGACCTAAGTTAAGTTTCCTAAACCATTGTACATCCTCAAATTATTAATGGAGCAATAATAAGCTGTGATTCTTGGATAAAATCACTGTAGATTTCTTGTTTAGATCTAAGGGAGACATATTTAATTACCCCTGGTTGTTCAGACTGAGTTTGACTTTTACAAGCAACAGTCCCCTGAGGGATCAACAATTTTTAATTAACTATATCAAGCGTAACTTTTCGAAAGAAAATGCTGTCTCCCGAGGCAGCATTGTGGCTGTGTTCTTAGCAGTGTACTCATTAAACCGCTGGTCTGATCTTTGCTCACAACATTTGTTGCATTTCATTCTCTCTTTCATTGCTGCTTCACCTGTCAATTGCTACTGTATACAATGTAATAAAAAGGCCAACCATTATAATAATAAGAAAGCCTTACCGTAAAATAAATACTGCAGTTCCAATTTCACAAAAGTTTCTCAAATGCAGAAATAATCTGATTGGATAAGTTAGACCTCACTGACTGGAGCTTATCAGTCGAGGTTCTGCTCACATCCAAAGAGGAACAGATGATGTGAAGATGTATCAACCGAATCTTTTTGGCACACATGATAACTTTAAGTTGTCAATCATTCTCTGCATTTAAAGGCCTGCAGCGTTCAGAGTACTGCTGATATTTTATCTTCTTTTAAAGTATCTGGTTGAATTGTTGTCCTTTCTTTTAGCCGTTTCTCATTGTCCTAAGGTGAGACGATTTTGGAACAATGAGCACAACACTTCCATTTAAAAAAATATGTCACCCACCTTCTCCATCCAGGCTCCTCCAGGTCTGGCAGCTCTTCCCGGGGTCAGGGCCCCGCTGGAGGGCCTACAGGATCAGGGCGACAGGGTGGTCCAGGTTCCCAGACAGATGGAGCTCCAGGACAGAGGACCCAGCTCCAACAACAAGCCCAGACATCAGCAGCCAGGTCAGGGCAGCCTGGTGCCGCAGTGGCCACCGGCCCTCAGCAGCAGCCCCCAGTCCAGGGACAAGGCATGGGCATGGGCATGGGTATGGGAATGGGCATGGGGCAAGGCCAAGCCAAGCCAGGACAGATGGGTCCAGCGGGTGGACCCATGGGTCAGGCCAGGCAGACAGGTCCCGCAGGAACCATGCCAGCCACCATGGTGAGTACAGAGAGGGAAGACTAGTAATAGAGAGAAATAGAAAATGACAATGTTAAAAAGACTTGCAGCGTTTGTTTCCATTTTTTATGATAAACAGATGGTATGATAATAATAGAAAGGATGTAGTATTTTTCTGTTTGAGAAAAAATAACTACACTTTTATTACTGTTAAAATGCTGTTCAATGGCAGAAAATACATTCAAATCAAATTTACAGTCAGTTTTACTTTTCCATCACTGCATGTGATTGATGTGACATTTTGAGAAGTATGGTATGTACTGTATACCTCCTCTGTTAGTGTTGTGTTGTTGTTGTCTTGCAGAACTAAATGTACCACAGGTTATCTTTATATTTCTCTTTCTCACAACACACACACACACACACATTAATTTCAAATTCAGTTTTTGTACACATTACTCGTGATATTACTGTGATCTTGACATAACAAGCTTGTTACATTTGTCACAAAAGAAATGTTTCACGATTATGACAAACCTGTCATTTAATATGTTGTCATCTTCATGTAACAAACCATTTTGATAAGGATGTTGTTGTCTCTCTCTCTTTCTCTCTATCCATCCTCCTATTTATAATTCAACATTTTCTAACAACCAATTGCTAGCTAGTTTATCCTTTTTGTATTCATTCATCCCTCCAGGCCCCATACTAATCTTCCTCGCTCTCATCTTTTTTTGCTCCATCCCTTCACCTCTTCCTAGTTTCCAGACAGTCTTCACCCTCAGTCCTTGTTTCCCCTCATTCCCCTGTGTCCCTCCATGCTCCCAGAGATAAGAGCTAGTCCATCTCCTCCCAGTTCAGATGGTTTATTTAAATATTGCTGTGCCTCTGTTGGCAGGCTTTATCTAACACTGTGATTAACACCGAGGCAACTGATAACTAAATGTAGCTGATTCACTGTCTGCTAGGCGCTCAAGAAATTGGCACTCAAAATATATGATTGCACCCTGTGTTTACTACATAATCATAAATCCATGCAAACGTATTTGCAATTGGAGTTGAAAAATCTCAACTCCAAGAATCCATGAATGAGTTGCCAATGAAGTTCATAAAGTCACCAGGACCCATAATTATTCCCAATAGTTTTCACGGCTGAAAAGAGTTCCTGATTTTCATGTTGCTGCATCGTTGTGCTGCCAGCGGGAAAGCAAAGTACAATAATTCATAATGTCTGATATCAAGTTGTGCAGGAATTTGTCTTGGAAATTATTCAGAAAGCTCTGACAGGAAGCCATAAACTGTCATTTGATTATCATTCAAGTCTGCAAACTCATACACTAACACTCTGTTGTTCGGTCCATTGTGTAATTAAAAGCATTGACGAAGTGGCTGTAAATAATGAGATGCTGTAAGCTGCACGGTGCTTAATGATGCGCCACCTCTTCTTTGCTGCAGCTAAACTGGATTCAGTGTCTGTCAAGTCAAGTATATTTATGGAGTGTTTATAAACAGGAGTGCCATTACATTACAGCTTTACAGAAAACAGATGACACAAAGTAAGAACATAGAAAGTGGGCCTTGTTTCCTGTGTTTAGATAGTACTAACTGTTATAGCGATGGATATCAGCAGAGGTCTGGTCTGCTCTTTCCTGAAGCTATTCTGTGTTAGTGCAGCAGCAGCCACTGTAGTTTAGTGCATAAATGGTGAGGGCAGAGCTGCAAAGAAACCCAGCAATGTAAAAGCTTTCACACTGCTCACAGTGACTCAGCAGATATCAAAATGTCCAAACCAGTCCACTCTGATAAAGGGATGAGGTGGGACAATGATGCAGGAAAATGTGGAACATCTACAGCCATGGTTAGAATATTTTTGTTGATTTACCTTGCCGTCAGACGGCGGTTTCCAACGTGGAAAGTTTGGATTCACATGAAGTCACATAAAATGTATTTGTAGTTCCCAGTATGAAAATAAATGCAGAAAAGTAAAACAGTTAAAAAAAGCACTTGAGTAATACAACAATGTCAATATTATCTTAAATCAGGGACAGGAGTTAAACCAAAATGATAAATAATAAATGTATTCATTTAATTGATTAATAACAACAGACAATCTATCATCAAAGGCCAGAATGTAAAGAAGTTGGTGGGAATTTTTCAGCTTTCCTGAGATTTTCTTGGAGGCATCTGTGTATAATTTCTTTCAGTGATTGCTGAGTGATAAGGAAGATAACTGACAGTTGACTGTGTTGACGATGGTGACACTCATCATTCATGTCATTCAGTAAGATGTCACAACACAATAGGGGAGCAGCTTTCTCTGTCGCCTTCTGTCAGTCTCTCAACCTCTTACTTTTTCCTCTCTTTTCCTTGTGTCTGCTGTGTTGTGAATATCTAAGAGCTATTTCTCCCCCACTGTCTTCAATTACCAGCTGTTTTGCTGTGAAGAGAGTACCGAGAAGTTTGTGTTAGTAAATGATGAGCATCGGTTACTCATGCTGTTTTATCTTCTCATACTCTCTGTCTCTCTGTCTCTCTGTCTCTGCAGGCCAAGATGGACACGCCTCCAGTAACAGCTATTGGAGCAAAGGCAGCGCCGGTCATGGCCACAAAAGCCGCCCAGCCCCCACTCACAGGCATAGGTACAGTATAATCATCGCACACAGAGACTCCCAGCACTCTCACGTCTCGCCAGCAGCTCCCCACTGTGTCTTTATTATGTAACCGGTGTGTGCCGTCTCATCTAATCTGAGATTAATCTGCAGATAATCCCACAGTGGAGGGGTTTCACTTCAAGGCAGCAGATCATCCTGAGTGTGTTAAGTCACTACGTAATGACTTGGGTCAGTTAGTTAATTTGGTAAAAGTAATTCAGTTAATTTGACCAGTAGGTAGTGCGTCTCTTGGAAATTTAAAAGAAGAACAATAAGAAAATGAAATGCTGATACAGGAAGTAGTTTGTCTTTTATGCGGTGTGGGAGGTAAATGGATGGATCTGAATCCCACATGTGACTATAAACAGATTTGATCAACAGATAATTGGCAACAATTCTGACAGACAAAAAAAACGCAAATAAAATTGCTTGGATGGACAGCAAACAAAGAGTTGGTCTTAAGTAATGACCGAAGGCTACAACAGCACATCTATTCAGAAAAATCTGGCCACTAAACACAGAAACCCATTTAAGTCCATAAAGAGGAGACCTAATGTGAAAGCAGGGCAGGTGGCTGATTCAGTAGACTGGCAGGAGAGGAAAAATACAATAGGGACAGCTTGTGCAACTCAAAGACGATACTTATTTTCTATTGCACACACTGTTTGATTTGAAAAGACACAGAGCACTTGGCACCACAGATGCCATCATAGAAAAAGAAAAAAGTACGCACACTGTCAGATGCCACCTAATATTAGACCTGCATAGATCCTGACATCTATTGTCCTCTGGATATGTCATCCTCTCTTCATCTCTCTGTTCTTTCTGTCCAGGCTCCAAGGCAACTACTAGGCCAGGAGGTATTGGCAGTGCAGCAGCAGGTCAGCCTGGCATGGAGGGAGACAGCATGTTGTCCAAGATCCTCCCTGGATCCGCCGCTGAGCAGGCCGGCAAACTGGGAGACGGTACAACAAAAGATCATTTATTAAAAGCACACTTCACACAAGTGATTTGACCGTCATGTTGGAATGGCATCACATATTATTATTGATCATCACCTTGTAAACGTTCTAATAATTGTTGGAGAAAGGCATTATGCAAACTAGACAGCTACTTTACTTCACAAACAAAGTGAGTAAAAAGAGACACAAAATGACTACAGAGATAAAAAATGACTACAAAGAGACAAAAAGCGACCGACAAGAGACACAAAATGGCTACCAAGAGGGCCAAAACAATTGTAAAGATATAAAACATGATTAGAAGGAGAAACAAAATGACTATAAAGACAAAACATGACTACAAAGAGACACAAAACAACTATAGAGACAAA